GAGCTAGAAGGGGAGGGAGGAGAGGCTTGCGGGGGCGGGGGGGCATGCCGAAGGGGGGGCGGGGGGAGGGGGGGAGGCTTGCCGAAGGGGGGGAGGGGGGAGAGGCTTGCCAAAGGGGGGGCGGGGGGAGAGAGGCTTTTAATTTTAATTAAAGAGGTAGAAGATTCTGAGCCAGAGGATGAAGAAAGTCCAGAGTGAGAAATGGAAGTAGTTTTATCGTGGGAAGAAGGAGAGGACTCTGAAATAGAACATGTAAAGACTGCTTCCCAGACTGAGAAAAGAGAGGCCTTAAGTGGACTTAAAGAAATTGCCTGTAATTATGTGGCTTGGGACTCTGAGAAGAAAAAATTGGTGAAACCTTGGATGGAACAAAAACCCCAGAATAAAGAAGAAACAGCTATGCTCCTAAATCAAGGAGTTGGGACAGTCTGTCTGACCTTGTGTTTGGCCTATCCCTCCAAGTCACTAGAGGTAAGTTCTGGTAAGCAGAAAAGGCATTTATATACAAATTTCAGTACTTCATCAGGAATCACCACATTTTTAAGAAAAACAGACACAAAACTCTGCAAACAGAGGAGCCAACATCTAAAGAAACAGACAATGTAAGAAACAAAACTTTAGAAGAAGTGTAATTAGTAACTTCAGAGAGATACAAGAGGAGATTAGAAATATTAAAAATTACCATCCAGAGGTCTTGGAAATAACTCAATAGATGCTCTGAATAGCAGAAGAGACATACCTGAAGAGACAAGGTATGATCTAGAAGATCGACTTGAAGAATGCTCTAAGGATACAATGCAATTGGCCAAATAATAAAGATCCAGAGACAGAGGATAGACCCAGAAACTCCAACATCCATTTGACAGGAATTCCAGGAAAAGATAATAAAGGGAATGGAGCAGAGGAAATAATTAAGGAAATGATTGAAGAAAACTTTCCAGAGCTAAAGAAAGATTCAGGTCTTGAGACTGTCAGTGCTTACCAAGTACCTAGTAAGATTGATGAAAAGAGACTTACTCCTAGAAATCTGGGAATTCCAAGGATAAAAAAAAAAAAAAAAAAAGTCTTCCAGAAAGAGGAGAGAGAACCTACAGAGGAACAAGAATCAGATTGACAGCAGACTTATTGGATACTCTGGATGCTAGAAGTAAATGGGGTAGTATCATAAAAGTTCTGCAGGCAAAGGCTTTTAAACCTAGAATCCTACATCCAGTCAAAGTGGCATTTTATTTTGAAGGTAAAACAAAGACAGTTTTTGATACCAAAGAACTCACAGTTTATTTCTTGCATACGCCTTTTAAAAGAATTACTGGAGGATATACTTTAGCAATCTAGGGTGACTATAAACACATAGACACCATATAGATTATCTTTCTCCCACACCAAAAAATCCACAAGGAAAACAGGAAAATAAAATGCCACATTTCTACCCAGGAAGATGAACAGCTAACAGTGTACTTGGGGAATAGACGAAAAGAAGGTTACAGATACTATCTGGATGTTGGTAAAGTTAAAGGGTGTGTTAAAATTAATGCTAATCATCGTAACTTGTGTAGGAGTACACTTTCTAGGCCACTGGGGATCACTTCTCAGCCTTTTGGCTAAGATCAAGTATAAACTACTGGGGAGAGGGAGCGAATCGGTCAATATAACCATAGACATGAAGAGGTGGGTGAAAATAACAGAAAAACACAGGGAAAAAGATGGCAGGAGAAGTTAAAAAGAAAAAGGCAAAAGTTGGACTCTTATCAAGAGAAGGGTAATTTTATCATTTATACTGATGTTAATCTTGAATCTTTATATTAAACTTTTCCTTTCAAAAAAAGATACTACAAAGCTGTAATAATCAAAACAGTATGGTACTGCCACAAAAAGAGACACATAGATCAAAAGAACAGAATAAAGAGCCCAGAAATAGACCCACACTTATAGGGTCAATTACTCCACAACAAAGAAGGCAACCATATGCAATGGGGAAAAGACAGTCTCCTCTATAAATGGTGCTGGGAAAACTGGACAGCTAGATGCAAAAGAATGAAACTGGGCTACTTTCTTTCACCATACACAAAAATAAATTAAAAATGGATTGAAGACCTAAAGGTGAGATCCAAAACAATAAAACTGCTAGAAGAAAATATAGGCAGTAAGCCCTCTGACACTGGCCTAGAAACAATTTTCTAGATAGGTCTCCTAAAGTGAGGGAAACAAAAGCAAAAATAAACTATTGGGACTAAACTAAAATAAAAACCTTTTGCACAGTGAAGGAAACCATCAACAAAACAAAAAGACAACCTCCTGAATGAAAGAGGATATTTGCAAATGATGTACCTGATAAGGGCTTAATATTCAAAATATATAAAGAACTTCTATAACTCAACACCAAAAAGAAAAACAACAAAAAAAAACCCCAAACATTCTAATTAAAAAATGGGCAGATGACCTGAATAGATGTTTTTCCAAAGAAGACATCCAGATGGCCAAGAGAAACACGAATTTTGGCATGAGAGGATAAATGTCAATGGTCTAGGTCACACTGAGAAGCTAGGCTAGTTAAGGCATAGAGCAACTGAGCAGTCAAAGCAGGGAGTCGGTTATAGTGGTCAAACTACTGTATCTTAAAGACAGACCAACGTTCCTCATGAAGGCAATTTATCTTCTGAGCTCCACGCTGCCTCATTTCAACATTATCCAATGACCTGTCTTCTGCAAAGTCTCCCCCCATCCTAGCTGCTTGGAATTTCTGGAATTTCTTTCCTGGAATTTCTCCTATACTAGCAGACAGGCAGTGACAGCTTCCCAGAACTTTATAGTAGATGAACTGGACCACAAACCTGCTGGATGGGGAGGTTTGTTTCAAAGAAAAGGAGGGACATGGAAAAGAACACATGTATGCTACACCTAGATCACCTCAGGCCTTGATGGCCCAATGTCCCGATCCGGACAGTGGCAACAGAGGCTTGACACTAACCTCCACGCCTAGGAGTGCTGTTGGCCCATTATGGAGTGTTAAAAGACAACAACAGGGCCAGTCAAGGAACCAAGCAACCAACGGCCTAGCCCTGCCTTGACACCATCTAGCCGTACAATCATGAACAAATCACTCGCCCTCTCCGGGTCTCCTTTCCACATATACAGTGAGCGTTAGAGCCAAAGGTCTCTGAAGGCCCTTCTAGCTCCATCACTGGGAGACTGAGACCCATCCAAAGTGGAGCTATGGCTTCCTGTTTGCATTCCATGCACCTCCCAGAAGTTCTCAGGTCACTAACGGGAGGCTTCTCTGCCAGCCGAGGAGCCCCTTGCTTGGCTTAAAGCACAGACCCCTGCAAAGGAGCCTGTTGTCCTCCAAAGTTAGACGCTGCAGGGCAATGCTACATCAGTGAGGGGTGACCCTCTGTGACCAGTGCAGGAAGAAATCCTAACTAGTTATCAAGAGAATTAAATGCCATATGTAGATGGGCCCAAAACATGTGAATACTATTGTAAAAAAGCATGTCCACCAGCAAAAGCCGTACACACCAGACTCCCAACAATACAATTGCAATCTGTATCTTTAAAAATTCACTGTAAAGCACATATGTGGCATCCAAATACCTGTCTACACAGAAATGCCTTTCTAGGAAAAAGAAAATTCTATTACAACAGAGTCTACATCTTTGGCAGACTGACTGATGGACATTTAATTCCAAAAGCTGAGACTCTCTCCTGTGGTTAAATACCATCCTATGGGAGAGACAAACTCTGAGCACAGAGCATTCGCAGGACTGCAGAGGCAAGCAAACGGGTCCACCGTTCCCATGGTCAGTGTCATCCCAATGTGGCATGGGGGGTGGTTCATAGGGCCTAGGGGCTGCAGCTGGGATGGGACTGACCCAGGGTACTCAGCAGGCAAGAAGCCATTGGGGAAATACCTAGGCAGCCCTCAGTTTTCCCTCCTCCTGGGCCAGGACACTCCCGTGGTCTCTCACCTGGGAGCTGCTGCCTATACTTTTTATCAATCTGTAATGCCCCATCTGTAGCCTTTCTCATTAGCCTACCTGGTCAACCTTTGGTTCATGAGAAAATACTTTGTTCTCTAAACTGCAACTTCTTTTTCCACAATTAAGGGAATGATAGGATGACAGGTGGTGGCCCTGTGGCTGCACCTGATCTGGTGACCCGGGAGGTCCCACTGGATAAGAGGACAATGCGCAACTCACCCCTCTGACCTCTCCACTCCCAGGAGCTGCAACCCATTATAAGAATCAGTGTACGGGGCAAGGGTAAACCAGGGTTTTCATCTGGGCAATAGGAGCATTCCAGCACTCCTCTGGCTCTAAAATAACACAGGAACCCAGAGAACCAAGTCAACCACCCATACACTTCCAATTACTGACCTCAGGCTGAGTAACGTTAATCTTTCCAAAGAGTGACCTGTGTGTTGCAAGCACTGCCCAGGAGGATTTACTTGTGCCCTGTGAGGCCGCAGTCTGCCCTGGGGCTCAGCCCCTGCCCAGACCACCATTCCCTGGCAAATCCTAAAGCCTCTCCTTCCCTTTCAGGGCTTTAGAAACCATCAACTATCAGCCTCATTTACTAAAGGCTGTCCTTCTTTCTTGCCTTGGCAGTGATAAGGACAGTAAAGAGGACTTCCCTGGAAGTGTGATTCTGGACTACAAGGGCTCTGAAGACCGCCAGGCTTGGAGTAAAATCCCACGTCACCTGCACATCCCAGCTGTGTGACAATGGACAAGGGACTTCAGCTCTGCGCTGTGCAGTTTTCCAGCTGTAAAGTGAGGACATTCCCACCCTGCACCCTGACTCATAAAGTTTTACTATAAGGGAACTACTCTACCTTCTGTTATTCTTGGAAGACAGTATTATACTTCCATTACATGTATTCACTCCAAGGTGAAAGCATGTTGCCTCTGGAGTGACAAAGGTGATATTTTCACCATCCTTTCACTGGATCTCACTTGTAGCCGGTATTGAAGAATACAGGATGGGGTTTCCCCTGGAATTACCTGCAGCTCCCGCCGTGAGGTCAATGGCAGCTTGGATAGCAGGACTGGACTTCATGTTCACCTACTCCTCTGCTGGTCTCCGTGGAAGGCAACTCTGAGCTTATGACGGCTGTCTCATGTCCCTGAAAGGAGACAAGAGCTCACCATCAGTGAGGCCTCTGCAGCCTTCCTTTCTCTAGAACTGCTGCCTAGTTACTGGGACCTCGACCTCTGGGAGCTGAGAGACCGGTTCTCCGGAAAAGAAAGGGGGGGGGGCGGTCAAGGTGCCAATGCAGCTTAGCGATTGGCCTCCCCTTCTCCCCACCCACCATCTCCCCATAAAAAACTCACAAGTCAAAAACCTTCCCCGAGTATCAAAGCTACAGCCCTTGTAGGGAGCATTTCAACGACTTTTCTGAAAAGCTTACAAATGAATGCTAAATACCACAGACACCCAAGCCATATCAAACTAGTTTTTCAGAGGCCTGAGTGGAACTATCAGTCAACTAGGCTCAGTTCTATATTCAGACAGCAGCCTGGGTTGAGTCCCTAAGAGGAGGTCACAAAACAGTAGGTCTGGAAAGGAATGGATTAGGTGCTTTGCAAAGTGACACATGAGTGGGTCTGAGTGCCTGCTCTGTCACCAGCAGGGTGGGCCCTCGGGCCCCTAAAACTGGAGTCCCACATATAAGGTGAATAATAGAAGTATTATCATAATACAAAGGCAATCACAAATAGTCACATGGGACAGATGTTCTTAGAACTAAAGAGCATAGCACCAAACATTAGTAATTGTCATCAAAGTCATCTCCAGACCTTCTCAACCATAACACAAAACACCTGGGGACCTTGTTAAAATACAGATTCTGATGTGCTAGGCCTCAGGTGGGACCAGAAACCCTGCCAGTCATGACAAGCTCCCAGATGAGGCTGATAATGACTGGCCACCAATCACATTTTGAAAAGCAACACCTGGTCCAGTGTCCTAAATTTGTTTGATAAGAATCACTGGGGCACCTGTTAAATATTCACATAACCAGGCCTCTCTCCTTAGTGATCTTGATTCAGCATGTTTGGGCTAGAGCCTAAAAAGTTTGGGAAAACTAGAGTCTACTCCTCTACCTTTAGACAAAAATCAACTATTACAGAGGAATGGACTTTATACAGATTTTTAAAAAGGAAAGGTGGTTCATTAACACAGAATATCAAGTTAACCAATTCTGTGTGGTTTTCAAACTATGTAAGTGACTTATCCGTGAATAACAAGGAAAAAATTTTATTCATCACACTAAAGACCTTTATGCCCCGAGTCAGACCTCCTCTCAGAGGGTGGTGGGCCGGCTGGATCACTAATGAATCCCAATGTCAACCTAAACGTCAGCATAAAATAATTTTATCCACTAAGAAGCTTTTTAACCACTTGATCCATGTTGCGAATGAGCAGACACCAAGAATCTTGCTTTCTTTACAAAAAAAATTGTAAAACCAGCAAACACAAAAGCACAGTACTGGACTTGAAAAAGCAACTAAGTTAAACAGAAAAGACATGCATTTTATGTTACCGATAGGACTGGAGAGGCAGCATCAATAACTACAGTTGATAAGGTCGTGGCCATCCTGTACCTAGAGAAGGGTCCTAATCCAATCTCCTTTACCAGATGGAAAACTGAGGCCAGAAGGCAAGAGCTTCTCCAAGGTCATACAAGTAGTCACTGGATTCAACTCAAGTCTTGCCTTTTGGGTCTGTGCCTACCAACCAATACTTAATTCCAGAGCATTCCAACCTGACCAAAAAGAAAAGAAACATCCAACCTTGCCTTTTAAAGGAAAAATGGAGGCAAGTGGGTAGAGTCACATAGGGCCCAACCAATGTGGCTTCTCCACGCGTTCTTTAGGTGTGGATATTTTTTTCTTAGTTTATATGAAAGGCATAGATCGTACTGTCATCAGTGTGAATTTAACCCCTTCAGGTAAGCCAAACTTAAACACATCAAATCCCACAAGTAACGCTCATAGTATTAGAATACTACACAGTGATGGGAACTAACAGATTAACTCAGAACGTGTGGGCAACTGATTCAAATTATTGTGTAGTTTAAGGCGGCTTCAAGAAGTCTTAAAAAAAAAAACATATGGGTTGGAGGAGGCAAGACTTGGGTCAGCAGGAGTTACTCATTCCTGAGCCAGGTGAAAAACTGAATCCTTTTAGTGTCTCTTTACCCCTCTTGCAAGTACACGTGGGTCCGACCCCAGGAGAGACAAACAACCTCGCGAACCACGCAGCCTTGTTTCCTAAGAAAATGAATTTCTCGACCGGAGGAACGTTCTGAGGCCGCATTCTCCAGCTGGTAACGCGAACTGCGGGAAGATTTCAGCTTCAGGCTCAAGCTGGCGCAGCAGGCGGCCGCCCTCCCGCCCGCCCTCCGATTACTAGAGCCGGGACACAGAGCGCGGCGATGCCAGCCCGTCTGGCCGCTAAGACGCCCGCCAGGCGCTCCTGCTCCGAGGCTCCGGATCCTGGTAAGCACAGGGGCCGCTACTAGGGAGACTGCTTCCAACTTTCCCTGACTCTATCCCAACAACCTGCAAGAGTCTCCCATTCATAAACGCCCCCGCCCCGGACCCGGGCAGCGGCGGCGCGGTGCCCAGAGGCCTGATGACACTCCGAGGGGGCAAAGAGGACAACCTTCCCAGCAGGTGAACACCACGGGAAGGAGGCCGCGGAGCCCGCGAGTCTCTGGCGCGCCCCGGCCGCGGCGCCCGCAGCTCCCTGGGCACGTGTACGGCGTGCCGGGCCGCGGACCCCAGAACCCCGGCCGGCTGCTCGCGCCCCGCTCCCCCCAGCCCCCCGCGCGGGCTCCCTGCAGCCCGGGGTGCCGGCTGGGGCTGCGCTCACCGCCGCGCCAGCTGGCCGCGCGTCCTGCTCGGGCTCCGCCGCGGGCTCTCGGCTCTGCCTCCGCGGCCTGGGCGGCCGCTTAACACCCACGTCGGCCGCTGGCCGGCCCTCCGCCCCGCCCTCCCGCGCGGGAGCGCAAAAGGCGGCGGCCCCGGAGACCCAGAGAGCTCCCCTGCGGCGGGGGGCGGGCCGCGCCGAGCCGGCGCGGGAGGGAAGCGGAAGTCCGCGGCTGAGGCGGCGCGCTCGGCCCGCGCAGGCCCCGCCACCCCCGGCCCGGGAGCGGGGGCGCGGGAGGGCGGGGAGCTAGGGCCTCCGAGCTGCTTCCCTTCTTCCAGGTTCCCGGAGGACTCCTGAGAGGCTCGACCCCAGTTAGAACTCAGGGCAGGGGGTTGGGGGTGACAGGAGGACCCGCTGAAGTCTTTAGGCTGATGAATCTTTGCCGGGACTCAAAGCCTCAATTTTATATTAAGACTACAAAAGTACTGGAGACGTAGTGATGCAAAATGCATTCGCTTATTGCCAGAAAAAAAAAACCCCACAAAACAAACATTCCCCATTTTGCCTACCGCAAGGAAATCATAACATTCGAGAAGGTTACACCCACCGATGAAAACTGGCTCTAAATCTGGCTTCTCTCATCTTTTAGTTGCTAATGAGTTATAGGCTATTTCTATGGCTCTCTGGCATTTTATTAAAAAGCACTATTCAAAGAATCTTGTATACCGCTGCAGGTAAAGGAATTTTCTCTAGTTCCCTAAGACAAAGAGCTAACATCTACTCAATTGGAAAGATCTTAGTCTGTTATTACTGACAGCTACTTAACGTAACTCAGTCATGGCCTTCGGATTTCTTTTTCATGCACTTATTTTCATTTTCTACACTGCATTTTCTTCCTTAAACCATGCTATCTTTTCCTTTTACAATTTGTTTTTGCCCTGTTTGATTGTGGCGTTGGACCGCTGACAATGCCATTTAAGTGATGGGGAGAGGGGAAGACAAATATTCCACCTGACGTGTGTTAGTGCTTAACGTGAACGCCCAACTGGATAGACCTTCCGGAGGTAGGAGGTGCTGTGAAGGCATCAGAGCTCCTGATAAATGGGGGCATTCATCAAAACTGCCTTTTCACAGATTCAGCACTTTAAATGTCAAGTTTCTGAAACTTACAGAAACAAGCCAAGGAGCTTGAAATACTTGCCCAAGTGACTTGTGACCCAACGACCCAACTGGTGGGAAGCAGACTCAGGAGCAGAACCTACGGTTACATCATAGCGGACTAATGGACTTTCAATATCCCCTGGTCCAGTGGCTTTAGCAAGCTAGAAACATGAGGCTCAAAAGAAACCTCATTAAGGACAGACCCAGTCTGCGGTCACAGACTGGAAAGAGTACTGGAGTTGGAGCCAGGATGCTTGTGTAAAAATCTGGGTGACCTTTAGTGAGCCATTTAACCTTTTCAAACCCCAGCCTTCATGCAATGGCATCACGGCCTCTGCTCTCGGTGATCCTGCTGGGGCCATCCACCCCCGTGAGGGCAGGCACTACTCCAGTTCACTGTTGTGCCCCCTCGCTGAGGGCCAGCCACCTCCTTCTTTGTGTTGTCGCCCTTGAGCCTCTTCTATCTCACAAGGGCTGCTCCAGACTCTCAACACTCCTGCTACATTTCTTCTCTCCTTCACCTCTCAACAGCCTCAGCCTCAGTTTATTCATAAACTCAGAAATAACCAGGAAACATTTGTGCAAATTTTTAACCCCTAATTTACAAAGTTACCTTTTTTGCAAAAACTCTCCTCCATTGGCCTCTGTCCTGTTGTCTTGCTTGCCGTGTCCTGGTGCCTTGCACCCTGGCTGGCGCCAATGATGCTGGTAAAGGATTGGAGGCTCAGAGCCCAAATCACCTGCCCAAAGTTATATAGGTACTCATGAAAGAGCTGGAACTCCACAGACCTCTGTTCAATTCTGAAGTTCATGTCCCTAACCTCCCAGAAGGCTTCCTTTTAAAAGCAAGAGGGTTGCAGGAACCAGTTCTTTCTCCTGAAACAGACGTCCCTTCACATTGTACAAATTCACCTCACCAGCCTAAAATCCCTCCCAGGAGTGGCTCTTTCTGTTATCTTTGCATTAGGAACGGAGAAACATAAGCTATTAAAAAGCTTAACATCTCACAGAAGCTCAGAGAACTAATTGGAAAATCACCTGCTTGGCATCCACTCAAACTTTGTTCTAAGGGTAATTCCCCAGGTATCCAATGGCCTGGAGAACAGGACTTCAGAATCCTGCATTACTGCTCTCAATATAGGTAGGTTAACCCAATGGCATTTCAGATCTGAGTTCCAAACAGCAAGCAAGTCAATGCCCTGACCTCTCTGCTCCAGGCAGTTTGCTACACTTGGGGCTACGCAATCCAGGGACATAAGTGCAGTTGACAATGTGATGGAGGGGCAGGTGTGACGTAGGTCAGAGGCGGGGAGACAGAGTGGCTAACATGAAAAAGGGAGACTTTGCTACTTCAACAGTATTTCACAATGCACTAGTTAATGATAACAAAAGGAGAAATAATTTCATCACTTGAAGCATATTGGCCCTAATACCATGTGGATGTGTCTTAACAAAGTGTTAATTGGAGTTGTAAATAATTCAAAAACATAAATCGTCTCTGATTCAATAATTTTAATTAGAAAGAAGAAAAAAATGCTTTGATTACACAACTCACATTGAATATTGTTGGCTATTGATGTAACCTTTACTGAAAACTCAAATCTTTTTTGGAATCTGGTAGAGTTTGTATTTGAAATAAACATGCATTTGGATTTTTGTTATCTATGTGGAATAAGGGAGAATTTTGTATCCCATGAAAGAGTTGTTAAGACAATGTGTTAAAGGGGGGCATTTTCTTTTGTCTTTTCCTTGACAGCTTTTTAATGCTACAAGCAAGAAAAAAGAAAAAGAAAAAGAAAATCACCTGAGATGTATATTTCATGAGCCTTAGATTTGAATTTGTAATATATATTTTTAAACACATAATTTATAATAGCAAAGACTTAGAAGAAATGCCCACAAATGGATAAAATTGAATGGATCATCAATAAGAGGAAATACTATGACATAATTTTTAAAATCATTTTCTTAAATCATATGCTTTAGGATATATTTGGCTGCAAATAACAGGATTCACAACTATTAATATATTTATTTTGAATATAAAAAGAAATCTAGAAATAGGAAGTTCCAGGGTTGGTTAATTTAACAGCCCAAAAGTCTCTGGGTCAGCTTCTCTATGATTCTCTTGACTTTTCCCTCATGATCACAAAGTGGCTGCCACAGCTCTATCACATCCTCACATGTAACATCCAAGGCCAGGAAGGAAGTTATCACACACAGAAAAATCTTTCCCAGAAGCCCTCTGTCAAGCTTCCCCTTGTATTTCACTAGCCCAGAACTGAGTCTCATGCTTGCCCAAACATAAACACTGGGAAGAGAATGGAGTTACCATATTTGGTGTAGAACAGGGGTCAGCAAACACCTGAAAAAGACCAACCAGCTAGTAAATATTTTAGTAAATATTTTGCAGGGCATGCAATCTCTGTCACATCTCAGCTCTGCTGTTGTAAACAAAAGCAGCCACAGGCACAGTAAAGAGGTAAGGTGGCTGTGTTCCAATAAAACTTTTATCTATGACGGGGTGTCTGGGTGGCTCAGTCGGTTAAGCGTCTACCTTCGGCTCAGGTCATGATCCTGGGGTCCGGGGATCGAGCCCCACGTCCTGCTCCCTGCTCAGTGGAGAGCCTGCTTCTCCCTCTCCCTCTGCCTGCCACTCTGCCTACTTATGCTCTCTCTCTCTCTGTCAAATAAATAAATAAAATCCTAAAAAAAAACTTTTATCTATGAGTATTGAAATTTGAATTTCATATAATTTTTACCTGTCAAAAAATATTATTTTAATTTTTATTTTTTCAGACTTTTAAAACTTAAAAAACAAAACAAAACATTTTGTATGGCTCGTGGCCATACAAAAAGAAATGGCAGGCCAGCTCTGGCTAGCAGGTTGTGGTTTATTGACCCCTGGTTTTGACCAATGATGACTTATCCCATTGGGACTGTAGGAGAGGCCCACCTTTCCTGAGACATCACCACTGCAGACCTGGAGGGGGGATGTGGGGGAAGCAAGGTTTTGTTAGGTAATCAGGAATGTCCCCTACAGCATATTAAGCATATGGGAAAAGGCTTAGGGATATAGTCATTTTTAAAAAGCAGATTATAGGGTGCCTGGGTGGCTTAGTCAGTTAAGCATCTGCCTTTGGCTCCATCCCCATGTTGGGCTTCCTGCTCAGCAGGGAGTCTGCTTCTCCCTCTCCCTCTGCCCCTCCACCTGCTTGCGCTCTCTCTCTCAAATAAATAAAATCCTTTAAAAATAAATAAGTAGGGGGGCGGAGCAAGATGGCGGAGGAGTAGGAGACCTGGATTTCATCTGGTCTCAGGAATTCAGCTGGATAGGGATCAAACCATTCTGAACACCTACGACCTCAACAGGAGATCGAAGAGAAGAATAGCAACAACTCTCTGAACAGAAAAGCGACCACTTTCTGGAAGGTAGGACGTGCGGAGAAGTGAATACGAGGCGATATTCGGGAGGATAGACAGCGGGGGAGGGGGCCTCCGTCGACCACTTCTGGCAAGTGATAGAGCCGCGGAGCACAGAATCGGAACTTTTAGAAGTCAGATCCGCGGAGGGTCGTCGCTCCATTGGCTAAGCGGGGGGTGGAACCCTCGCGGGACAGTGTGGTCTCAGGACCCTCGGGGTCACAGAAA